CTGGGCGCATTCCCTATCCAATCAAGCCTAAGCTCTTACTAATAACTAAAATGATTAAACCGGGGCTGTTGTGTTTTGAACACATCCTGAAATGACAGGACTCGCTGGAAGAGACAATAAGGATAGGAAAAGTTGAAGGCAGCAGGGAAAGAGGAAGGCCAAATGTGAGATGGTCTGACTCCCTCAAGGAGACCCACGCCTTCAGCTTGCAAGAGGTGAGGACAGGGCGTTTTAGAAGTTAAGTTTTTCATAGGGTTGCCGTAAGTGGGAGGTGACTTGACAGCTCATAAGGTATGGGTGGGGGAGGAATTGTAAATAGTGACATCAGAAGGAAATTAGATAGAAGCTAGAAAAGCAATCTAGTAAATGTTTGTAAGGAGAAAGGAAGGTTCCAGTAAAAGGACCTTGGGCTCCAAACAGCGACACCTCTTCTAGTTGGTGATGCTCCTAAGTCTTCCACAGATTTGAAAGCTTGATGTCATCCATTATGATTGAGGCAGAAGACTTCGAAATGTTCCCCCCCCCCTTCCCCTTACTTCTGCTGGAAAACCGAAGCATTTGATCAGCTAAAACCTCCTTTTGTAGGTGGCCAGGAAGGGTTCAAAGCATTCTTCCCAATGGAGTTTCCGGACCTGGGTCAACACTGCTCCGAAAAGACCTGCAAGCGGTTGGGTAAGAAGCCACTGAAATGCATCAGGATGGAGGGGCAGCATTGATATTCTTGTGTGATTTCCCCCCACCCCCTTAAAGGTGGGGACTAGAACCAGTAGAAATTGGGGAGTCTGGCATTAAAACACAGCAGGCACCCTTGGGAGCCACTCAAGATAAAGCAGCTTTCTTTGCTTCTAGAATGTCCAAGGGGCTTTCCGTGAGAAGACCAGACTCCGCAGGAACTGTTAAATGTGCCCTAGAGACCCTCTTAACAGCCTTTTGTTACAGCTTCGTGGAAAACGTGTTATTCTTTTCCCCTGTAGATTTTCTTCCCCTGAAATGCGATGCCTGTGGAGAGGTCTTCTGCAAAGACCACATTGCGTATCGCCGGCATGAGTGTGCTTTTGCGTACAAGAAGGTAATGTACCTACACATCCTGGACGTGTCGTGGGCTGGGCGCCATGGGCAGAAGGACGTGGCCTTTCTGGAGCCTCGTGGCCATGCTTGGGTGGAGAAAAAAAACATCTTGGCTCTAAATAAATGAGCAAACCCAGCTGGCCTCCTGGTCTCTGTTGGGTCACCTATCAGAAGCTGCAGTGAAGTGTTCTCAAAAAAAAAGTCGGCCCCTCCCCGCTCTTGAGTCGTGCCAATTTAGGCTTTCTGTTACTGGTGAAGTCATCAAATGGCAGTGATTCTGATCCTCGTGGCCGGTCCCAGGGCGTCCTCAAAAGTCCAGGGACTGTCTTTGCTAACTTAAAATGCACAAACTGTTTCTTCCTTCCGTTCTCAGGACATCCAGGTCCCTGTCTGCCCCTTGTGTCACACCCCCATCCCAGTGAAGAAAGGGGAGCTGCCGGATGCTGCTGTGGGTGCCCACATGGACAGGGATTGTAAGCGGGACTCTGCCCACCAGAAACAAAAGGTGAGAAAAAATTTTTTAAAAGGGGTGGGGACAAGGAGGACTCTTTTTTTCATGTGATCTGTGAGCAAAATCTCCAAATCAAAATATATCCTATGGGCAAGTTTGAGTCCTCTAAAAGGCCTTCATCCGACAGGGATTCATGGTGGCTGGGAGGCGGGAAAGAAATCCAGGGGGAAAAAAAGTCCAGTGGCCTCTGAAGCAAAAGTGTTGCAGCCTTAAACTTTCAGGGATGCTGAATGCTTAGGAGCTAATGGGAATTGTAGTCTGACAGTATCTGGAGGGTCCTCCCCTTCTTAGATTTCACCTGCTCTCACTTTGCATTTTGGGGTGCATTTAGATCTTCTCGAACAAGTGCTTCAAACCGGGCTGCAAAGCGAGAGAGATGATGAAGCTGGTTTGTGACCAGTGCCAGAGGAATTTCTGTGTCCGGCATCGGCACCCCCTGGATCACGCCTGCGAAGGAGAAGGACGCCCCATTTCCAAAGCTGGGTAAGGCTGCTGATGTGTGTAGGGAAGCTGTGCACCGTGAACCTTGGGCTAGTTAGCGCACTCTCCTTCAGACCGAAAGTACTTTGATGATTTTAGTGGCGATGCCGTAAGTCCTAGGGCGGAGTAATGTAAATACTGGTCCTCTTTATGCCCAGGAGTGTATGATTAAGGTTGGTCTTTTTGTGAGCCAGAGGTGAGAGGCAATGATCTGGTCATAGAACGGGAGGGGGTCAGTGCAATCAGCTGAACAGTGCGGACTTGAAGGATGATGAACCTGCCATCTCAACTTTGCTTACAAGGATGGTCCATTCTGCTTAGTTTATGAATGGCAGCTTTCCTTCTAATATGGCAAAATGTTTTCTCTTCAGGCAAAAGAATCTGTGTTCTGCACAATAAGGCTTCAAGAATAAGGACTGGGTTCAGACTGCCTAAAGCAGAGTGCTAAGTATGGCTGTTTCCTTACAGATACGCTGCTCTAATGAGATCCCTCGAAGCCCAGAAGATAACTCAGGACTATCAATTTCTGCAAAACAGGTTAATCCTGCCCTTTTTCTACTTGAGTGTTCAGTAATCCCAAATGTGTCTAATTTGTTGTATATCATAGAAGCAAATGCACTTGGAGGCTTGTGGCATCTACTTTTTTTTCTGCTGGCAAACTGAGATCTTCCAGCTGAAGCTAGATTTCTTTTAAAAAGTGTTACATGGCAAAACTGCCAAACCTAGACTGCATAGAATTCCCCCAATATTTTGGAAGTCTCAAGTAAGTGTGGCTTGTTACATATACACACCCGAACTTGATGCTGTTGCATGTTTTATTAATTCGTTAAGAGGAGCTTTGTGAAGTGCTTATCACAAAAATTACTTTTAGTTCAGAATCCCCATTACTGCTTTAGACTCATGCAAGGGAAAGCATAAAAGCCTTGGTAGTAAATTGCTGCTCATTTATGATATGCAGGTTGGGGTTCTGTACTTATGCCTCATGGTGCATGTGGCCATCATTGCAACCAGCACCTTGTGAATGAGCAACAATTTCCCACCAAGACTTGGATGATTTCTTGGACACAGGAATAAACTAGCACCAGGATTTTGGCCGTCATGTTTTACTTCTGGGCTGTGGTAGACAGACTCCTTCAGAGAGAGGCTAAAGTGTCATTAGTCTACTATACCTTTGTTTGGCTGACTGCCCTATTTTTCCGTTTCAGGTGCAAGGCGAAATGCTGATGGCCTGCAAACCCAATTCCAAAACCATCTCGACCCTGTTGATGGCTGTCAGTTTTTAAAACTTTTTACACTTTTTTCCTATGGAGCTTTTCTATTTAATTCTTCTCTGCAATAAACAGACTTGTTTGCAACAAATGGATGTTTTCTGGAGTCTCAATGATGGGTCCCCCTGGGAAACAAGCTATATAGTTGAAGGATCTGTTCTGTAGGTGGAAAGAAGTTGCATTCTGCTCACCTCCAGATTTAAAAAAAATTGGGGGTAGGAAGACTGCTGGATAGAAAAGATGGGATCAAGAACTGTGAATAAGTGCAGTCCACAGCTGTGCCGAACTTAGTTTAAAAGTTATGAATTCAGTCTGTTTGCGAAAAGTGTCCTCTCCTAGGCATGTCGGCATGAAACAAAAGGTCTTTTGCCACCTTACAGACTAGCCTTTATGTTTTAAGCGAGCATTTGTGGAAAAAAGTTCTAGCCGGTTTCACGAGATGGTACCCCCACATTGATGGAAGTCTTGGGTGCAACGTCAGGTCTGGCCACAAGATGGCACTACAAGATACCTGGGTTCTATGCTTAATCTTTAATGATTAAAATATTCCCATCCAGAATTCAGAAAAGTTGCTTCCCCCAAGAGTAAAGTGGCTGGAATCTTGCCTGTGGCCCTGCTAGCTGGCGAAGTATGGGGACTGCATTTGCCGAAAAGGAAACTTTTAACGCTTTTTCAGGGTTATTTCTGCCGAGGATGGATGGGGAAGAAGCTGTAACAGACCGCAACCATCAATAACGGCTTGATCACACTGAAATGCAGGCAAAAATGCTCAGACAGAGAACCTTAAGTGAGCTACTGAAGGGAAGGCAAGCAGATTAATAGTGAATTTATTTCTTTAGGACCCAGTTTTATATCCAGGGCTGAATGGGGAGATCTCTTTTTTTTCATGCGTTACATGGGCAAGTGAATTAACATTTAGGCAATGAGTTTAAGGATGGCATATACAAAGTGCTGGAGAGGAAGACATTAGGTTCCTGTAGAGCAGAGGGGGTCAAGCAGGTACCGTTCACTAGCCAATACACCTTATTGTATATATTGGCAGACATTGGGTTCCTGTAGAGCAGAGAGGGGGGTCAAGCAGGTACTGTTCACTAGCCAATACACCTTATTGTATATATTGGATTTTGCAAATCTGTATTAAAGAGGCTTGAATGCAGCTTTGGTTTGAAAATGCATTTGCAAGAGGGAATTCTCTCAACCTTAATCCGGTAATGGGGCCAGAGGAATAAATTCCTTTGTTTCTGAGATTTGGGGTAGCGAATGCTGTTTATGTTGCATAATCATACTACCACATAAGAGGGAGAATACTTCAGGTCAATTAGAAGATGCTCGTCCTGCTTCCCCTTGACATGGGGAGCTTGGACATGATAATGTTATGGTTTCTAGCTTAGACTACTGGAATACACTGTGTGCAGGGCCTGCATTTGGAGATTGTTTTTCCCATTCTAGTTCAGATTATAGTTTCTGGAGTAATTGTTGTAGAATTCATGGCAAAGCTTGGAAAAAGTTACTTTTTCTGAGTGTCACTCCAGAATGGCCGTTGGAGGATTATGTGAGTTGCAGTTCAGAAAGCACACCCTTTCCCAGACATGTTGCCCTTTTGAGGTAAGATGGGCAGGCACCAGAAGGGCTGACTCTGCTGTATATCCTTCCTCATCTACGATGGCAATGCCAGTCTTGTCACCAAACATTTAAAAAAAACAGCTGTGTTCAAATTCGCTGTTCTTTAGTTATCTTCATTAGACAAACTGTTCTTTGGGTTGCTTATTATGGTGAGCTCTTTCCGGAAAGAGAAAAGAAAAGTGGATCAAAAATTACCCTACAGCTTGTCCTGAGCCGGTTTCTGTTTCGGGTATCCCACTGTGGCGTGGTAGTACCCTCATTTCCGCCACCTCCCCGCGCGAGGTCCGGAGACGTCACTCCAAAGAACCCGCGAGCCTGGGCCGGCCAATAAGAACGGAGAGAGGCCGAGAGGAGGCGGGGTCCTTTTTTTCGTCACGTGCCGGCTCGACTCTCCGCCCACATCACGCACCGGCCTGGGCGGAGCGCGTGACGGAGGAGGGAACTGCTGAGAGGGGAAAGGAGTGAGGACAGGCGGAGGGCGGGGGGAAGAGTCGCGGCCGAGCCTTCCCATTGGCTCCCGCCTGTGACGGAGACGCCGCCCAGCCAGCGGGCGCCGCGCTCGCGCTCCCGGCGGCCAATGAGAGCGCGAGGGCGGCCTGAGGCGGTGCGAACGAGGCAGGCTTGAAACGCACGCGCCAGGAGAAGGAGGAGGGGGGGCGGTCACCGCGGCAACCGTGGCTGGCGGGTTTTTTCTAAGCCTGAGGTGGGTGGCGTGAGGAGGCGACGCCTGAGGGAAAATGGCCGAGCCTTGTACGTTTGTGTGTATGTGTGTGTGTGTGTGTTTGTTGTGGGGGAACGGGCGAGCGGGACTCCATTTTTGTTGCCTTTTTTTTTGTCTGAGGAAATTTGTTGTGAGGGGACTGAGACCGGGAGGGAGGACGAAGCCTGAGGCGACCCTGAGAGGAATGAGCGCCATGTGTGAGGGGAATTTAGAAACGGGAGCAGGACTACAACGCCCAGCATCCCCTCAGCCAGCTGCGCGTGTGAGGGCAGTTTGGAAGCCCCTTGTCCCCCGAGGGGGACGGGGATAGGCTTCTTTGCACTACACAGTTCCGAGAATTCCCCTCAGCCAGCTATTCTGGGAGTTGCTGTCCAAAGAATGAAAGAAATGTTCCTCGAACTTTGCAAAACACGCCTCTTCGCGTCCTGCCGGTGCTGAGGGATATCCTTTCCCTTCTTTCTCCTCCTCTGCCTTTTCCACACCTCTACATGACAGCCCTGTGAGGGAGGCCAGGCAGTGGCCTATGAGGGGGAGGGTATTGTGAAGGGTGAGACTGGCACAAATCTGCTTCAGGCGGGGGGGGGAACCCTTGTAGAGGCACGTTCACAGAGGTTTTTGAGACTTTGAACATTTTTCCCCAGAGAGCTGTGGCAGTCTTGTTTTAATAGAAAACAAAGTTTTTAA